CTTTATTGGCGAGATTAATGTTCATCGAATTTTCCAAATCTCACAGTAACAAAAGTAGTCGTATAATTTTTTTATTCAAAGATAGTGAAATAGAATGCTACAGCCTACAAACACCAAAAAGTTGTCATTATATGCTTTCATTGGATAGCCACAAGCTCTTGGGTGGCATGGAATGGTTTGATTGTCATATTCGGAAATAAAAGTCTAATATGAACTTAAAAGACTTTCCATCCCCTAATCTTCAAAGAAATTGTGTTTTTTTTTGTCAACGGTTAGAAGTGTTTAAGTCCGTTTATGTGTATCACGATTAATTTTTTTTTGGTCCGATTAAAAACAGGTCATCCATATTAAAACTAAGGTATTTATTAGAAATGAATTTCTTATGGTCTTTCTCTAAAAAATTATCAAGATTAGAACTCAAGACATCTTGGTTTACAACTTATTCCTATTATGACTTAAAATATCTTAGAGTTAACGAAATTTTGTTTTTGGGTATGTAGAAACGTCTTTGAATAACTTTCTTGTTGAAGTGATTGGTGCCTAAACTCACAAACTAATTTGTGGCAGCATTCGATCATGTAATATTCATTTGATACTATAAGTTGACTGCGAAGTAGCAATATCGATAATTGCATAGAAAATAGAACTTATCATGTAATATTCATTTCATATTTTCAAATTAATGCTTCGTTTGGTAGGAAAATTGTAAAGTAAGAGGGATAAAAAAATAAGAATTATACACTTTTTATCCACTAATGAAGAAAAATAGAAATAATACATTTTCTTTCTTTTGTATTTGGTAAGATGGATAGAAAATAAAAATGATTAATTTTTTTTATGTTTGGTATTAATGAAAAAATAGAAAGATGAAAAAATATAAATTCATAATATGTAATTGATAAATTTGATATATAGACAAATAACATGCATTTCAACACGCACAATTAATTTTTCATCAATTTTTTTCTCAGTTTTGGAGGGGTTGATTTTGGTGAGTTAAAAGGAAAGCTAATTCATCTATTTTTCCATCATTTCTATTTTCATTCCTTACCAAACATGATATTTTATCTATCTTTCTAAGTTTTCATTCTTCTAACTTTCTATCTTTTAATTTTTTCATCGTACCAAACAAAGCATAAGATATCAATGAATCAATCCTTTCCAAAAAAATTGACGATAGGTCTCTCACATCCTTCACTTTGGGGTTTTATCCTTACTTTCTTATAAGACCTCACCCACTTCGGGTGTTTAACAAAATAATCGAAATAAATTGCAGATAGTTTTTTTGTAACAATGACGCATTTAATCTTCATCTACATCTTTTTCCACTGCTTACAATGACGAAGATGATAGTCAGTACTAATGATGATTTTTCTCCTTTGAGATCAATTATAGCAGATGTTAGGTACTTTCTACATAGTTTTCATTCTCTCTCTGTTTCTACAATTAGACGAACTGGAAATTGTGTTACTCACCAGCTTGTTAGGAGGGCTAAACGCTATGAAAACTTTAATGTTTGGGAGAATATGGCACCAGATTTTTTAGTGTCATTCATTTGTTCAGATTTTTCTATTTAATATATGTTCTATCGTTTCTGTCAAAAAAAAAAAAAACTCTAATCAATAATTTCCAATTAATATAACTAGTCAAACCCATATTTGACGATAATATTAAAATGTGAAGGTATTGAATTGATTTTAAAATATAATTTGTTTAGGTGCACATTAGCTAATTCGAGACTCTTAACTATTGAACAAAACAAAAAAAAATTTCAACGAAATTGTGTTTTTGCGTACTTGGAAACGTCTTTGAATAACTTTCTTGTTGAAGTGATGGTGCCTAAACTCACCAAATAATTTGTGGCATCATTCTATCAAGAGCTTTATAGTTGAATTTTCAACTACATTTATACCCTTTTGCTTCAACTCTAATTTATAATAAACTTCCAATCGATTTATTTAACCATTTATACCCGAATTTTCAGATAATACCGAAAATATTGTATCTTATTTGAAAATGTTGACGGAAAAGTTGCAATATTGATAAATAGTTGTATAGAGAAGAGAATTTATCGTGTAATATTCATTTCACTGTTTTTTATACTTTCCTTTTTTTGATTGGAATAAGTAGGGGTGTCAAAATATGATACGACCTATTAACACGACACGAAATAAGGGGATTCGAGTCTTCTTTAAACCATACGTTTAGTAAACGAGTGAATTCGACATTACACGACTAGTAAACGAATCAGGTATGAATGAAATCAATCAAAAAAAATAAACGATAATACTCGTTTATCTGTCAGTTATGTACGGCTCATACACGATACGAATCCGATATGACACGATTCGTTAGATACGAATTGATAAATGAATCGAGTATGAATAAAATATTTTGTAACACGAATTCACTAAGACTAGATACGAACCAACTTCACCCGATAAGATTGATAGGCTTAGGAACAACTAACTAATCATTAACGATAAGAACATCATTTTTTTTTTTTTTGATTCTTTTCCATTCTAAGAGATCAATAAATCAATCCTGTCCAAAAATGACAATAATTTATTTTGAGAAATTACGTCAAACGCAACAGAAATGTCTCACATCCCTAACTTTGGGGTCGTATCCTTACTTTCTTATAGACCTCACCCACTTTGGGTGTTTGACAACATAATTAAAATAAATTGTAAATAGTTTTTGTAAAAATGACACATTTTCACCATCTTTTCTCACTGCTTAAACTCTAATCAATAATTCCCAATTAATATAACCACTCACACCCATATTTTGAAGATAATATTGACATGTGAAGGTATTGAATTGATTTTGAAATATAATTTGTTTAAATGTAGTAATTAATAAATATATGCATAAAAAGAAATTTTTTATTTTTTTTGTTTTTTTTTTTTGAAAAGTAACGACAAAGTTACATTATTTCATCAACAATGCAAGACTTCTTTACGAAGGAGAAGATACAAGAAATCAGGGCAAATTCCCCTCTAACACTTAAGATCATTACATTTCAAAGCAAATTTTGCTAAACAGTTAGCAACATAAGCGTCATCTCTTCTGATCCATCCGGTAGAGAACTTTGTCAACAAGCTCGCAGGCTCGTAAATTTGATCAACGAAAGTACCAATATCATAGAAATTTGGTTCCTTTCGTTCTGTGGCAGCGATGACATTCTTAGTGTCTCCTTCCAAAATCACCTTGTAATATCCCATCTCAATTACAAGCTTTATTCCAGACAATGTTGCCATTGCTTCTACTGTTCTACATTCTCAGCACGAAGAAGACCTCAAACAGATTTACTCAAACCCGCCAAAAATTCCCAACCACCCCGATACCCACCAGCTTCTCTGAGATGAGGGTAGCTGATAGCACCATCAAAATTAATTTTGACTACACCCGAAGGCGGCGTCGACCATTGCCTACTACTATTCTCTGGTTGTGTGCATGTGGGGACTGTGAAATTCTGACCTTGGGCTCCTAAGAAGCAAGCTAGGTGAGAGACAGAAAAATCAACAATGGCATAAAAAGAATTGAGAAACTCTACATTACATTTTTCGCTAACCCACTTGCGTTGTCTTTTTATCCTCGAGGAGTTAGAATTTCACCAACCAACCTATAACTCTTATCTACATACCCCACCAGAAGGTAATCATTGTTTTCTTTATTTTTTCTTTCCTTTTTATTAGATGGGAAATAGCTAATCATTATGTACAAGAACGTTGTAATTTGAATTTTGAATTAGTGAGTTAAATTAACATGTCTAACCCACATATTTTTTTTATCTCATATTATCAGAGTTATCCTCTTTGAACCTGTAATTCAAACATACTCTAAGGGTTCTATTCTTCTGTTTTTTTTTTCCGACTTTTCTCCCACTTTAAGTGTTTAATATTGATATCGTAATAAAATGTAGATTATTTTTGTAACAATTACACACATATATTGTACTTAGATATCGTAATGGTGTCCCATCAATATGTAAAAAAAATATAGTAGGCATGAAAATGAAAGTAAAAGAATAATTTGAAACTTGTATTGAAAAAATTGTATATAGCTCGAATTTGAATCGATGGCAAATACTCATTTACTCTAGTGATATATCACGTGTTGAATTCAAGAATTAATCTTTCTAAAATAGCGGTAAAATTGCTTAAAATTTACTTATTCAAGCTCTTAATTACCATGGGCAAAAGCCTTTGGATAATGGGTACGACTTTTATTTTTTCCTTAAAATTTTATGTTTGCTATCAATTGTGTGGAAGTTAACATAGATAATGACAATTAATCAACATGATGATCAATTTTTTTAATAGAAAATAGAAATATATTAGGAGATATACTGCAAAATCAAAGGGAAAAAAAAAACTTAAAATAGTAAAACTCTTTTTTTTTTATCCAACGGTCAAAAGTATCCAGATCAGTTTACGCGTACATCAACTAATTTTCTTCTCAGTCTAGTCAAAGGTAAACTATCTAAGATGAAATTAGAATATTCAAGAGAGATAAATCTCTTATAGTTTGACCTCAAGGGATTACAAAAATTTGAAATCAGGATATCTGAATATACAGCTCATACTATTTCTACTTAAACTACCCCTTGGGATTAAATAGTAAAACTCAATACCTCATGTTAATGGTCGATTTTTATGGGAGCTATACTACTTTGATCTTATTTGTTGACTTATAAATCACTTTCTATCATTTGTTTGGCGGTTGATTCTACTATTAAAAAAGATTAATAAGTTAAGTTCAAATAATATTTTTTTATGAATGTGAAAGGGATGAGTAAATTGTGAATAAATCATATGGTTTGTAAGCATTTGATCTTTTTGCCCCCACATAATTTTATAGTCTTTAATCATAGTCATTACACAAATTAGAAATCTATTGATCGATCAAGCGGTTAGGAATGAAGGAATGCACAAAGGTTTCTTGTACTGCAAAAGCAGGATAGCAAATGTTGGTCAAAGGGGCAGAAAACATCCATGGCCGAGTAAAAGGATTTAGAGTGAAGGAGGCAGCAGCCAACCAAGAAATGCAGGATACCGGATAATCGCCCCCCCTCCCCCCCGGGGGCGCCCACCAAAAAAATTCAATGACCATGAATAGTTGTCGGCATCTCTATGCATATGCATGCACCATAGAGAGAGAGAGAGAGAGAGAAACACCGTATATTTAGGGAGAGAAAGTCAAAAGGGTGGTGGCAAATAAACCCTTTACCTTCTCTACGCTTTGTCCGCACCCTACACACACTTATATGACTTGGTGAAATTGTCATCCTTGAGCCTTTCAATACCATAGAAAAGTCACACCTCTCTCTCTCTCTCTCTCTCTCTCTCTCTCTACACACATTTTTCCGTGTTTTGACTTTTGAATCTCTCTCTCCTCCTCATTTATAAATCCTCTCTTCTCCCAACGTCTTCAATCAAACCAATATTCACAACTCCCCAACAGCTTCATCTCCTACATTCAATCAAAGCTTTAGCTTCAGTTTCTACAACCATTTTGATCAACTAACCCTTCTGGGTCTTTTGTATTTCAATTTATTCCTCATCTGATCGTCTTTAATAGTTCAACTCTTCTCTATTTTCCTTTGGATTTTTGTGTGATCTTGATCTTTCTTTCTTGGGTAGTGTTCTAATGGATGAAATTGAAGTTCCTCCATTTTTTCTCTGCCCCATATCTCTAGAGATCATGAAGGACCCAGTCACTCTCTCCACAGGCATTACATACGATCGTCAGACCATCGAGAAATGGATATTTTCCGAGAAAAACAATACATGTCCGGTCACAAAACAAGTCCTTTCCGATCCCGATTTGACTCCAAACATCACTCTCCGGCGACTGATCCAGTCATGGTGCATCCTCAACTCTTCCAATGGCGTCGAAAGATTCCCAACCCCAAAGCCTCCGATCAGCAAAACCCAGATCGCCAAGCTTCTCAATGATGCCAAATCTCCACAATTGCAAATGAAATGTCTCGTAAGACTCAAATCTATAGCTTCTGAAAGTGACACGAACAAACGGTGCATGGAATCCGCCGGCGCCGGAGAGTTCTTGGCTTCAATCATAAGTAAAACCCAAGAAGCTTCAATACCAGAAAAATCAGAAGATGAGTTTGAGATCACAAAAGCAAGTGATGAAGCCCTAAGTATTCTTCACCATCTTCAATTATCAGAAGATGGATTCAAATCTCTCTACGGCCAAAATGGTCAGTTCATTGAGTCCTTAAAACAGATCATGCAACGTGGGAACTACGAATCACGAGCTTATTCTGTGTTCTTATTGAAATCAATCTTCGAAGTAGCTGAACCAATGCAACTGATCAGTTTGAAACCAGATTTTTTTCTTGAAATAGTCCAACTTTTGAACGACCAGATCTCTCACAAGGCCTCAAAAGCTGCATTGCAACTACTGATTAATGTTTGCCCATGGGGAAGAAACAGAGTGAAAGCAGTGGAAGCAAGAGCTGTGCCTGTATTGATCGATCTTTTACTCGAAAGTTTTGAGAAAAGGGACTGTGAAATGATGCTAATGGTGTTGGATCAGCTGTGCCAATGTGCAGAAGGAAGAGCAGAGTTGTTGAAACATGGAGCTGGGTTGGCTATGGTGTCGAAGAAGATACTTAGGGTTTCAAAGGTGGCGAGTGAGAGGGGTGTGAGGATTCTACATTCCATTTCAAAGTTCTCAGCAACTCCTAGTGTTGTTCAAGAGATGTTGCAACTGGGTGTGGTGGCAAAGCTGTGTCTGGTTGTTCAAGTTGATTGTGGTACTAAGACCAAGGAGAGAGCTAGAGAGATCCTTAAGTTGCATGCTAAGGCGTGGAAAAACTCTCCATGTGCACCCATGAATTCGCTCTCTGCATATCCCTCTTGAGAGAGAGAGATCCAGAGAGAGAAACACCCACACAGAGCAATGTTAATTCTGTGTAGATAAATTGCAGTACATTTAGAACACTGGAATACATGGGCAAAAAACAGTATCCATGAAGATTTTTCAGATGGACTGTTTACTGCTCTAATTTGGGAAAAGATTAATGTTATGGAAAAGAAGATTTCTTTTTTTTTTTTCTTTTCTTTGTTTCAATGGATAGTCATGTCTCGATTAATTCTTTTTCTGATTTAGTTAAGGACATAATATCTACGTCGACATTAATATATTTCTTGAAAATAAATCTCTTGTTAAGTGTTGTCAAGTTCTTTCATCATTCCTTTTGTCATTTATATTACTTTTTTCATCATTTCTTTTGTCACTTATTTTACCTGTACGCTTTCTTTTGGCCGGTAACATGGGATTGCTTGAAATAAGGGCTAAATTATTACCATTTAAAAAAAAAAATCATGATACAATAAAGACTTATAATCTTCCAACGTTCCAAATGCATTATCTAGGACTAATATTGTTTTATGGGACAAAGTGAAATTAACAATAATTTTTTGGGTAGGGGGTAAGGTGACTTTATGATATCACCATAGATGGCAGACCAAACGTCTAGTTGTTTTTTTTTTTGGTCCAGTTGTTGGGATATGTATAGAGTAATTTTGGATGAATTTAAAAATTAAATTTAAAAATTAGACTTGATAATACTAACTATTGAATAGGTAGTGAGTTCCAATAAATACTAAGATCTACAGTTAAATCAATAATTGTAATCTATTCACTAGTAACATAAGATTGATGAAATTGAAAGGTACATAAATGTTATCATTTAACAAAAATCATGGTATAAGGTAAGATTTATAATCTACCGACGTGCCACATGCATTATCTAGGACAAAGCTAATTAGTAATAATTTTATGAGTAAAGTGACTTTATTATATCTCTATAGATTACAAACCAAACACCGTCTAGTTGACGTTTAATTGTTAGGACGTGTGTAACATGAAATTTTTAATGTTTTAAACGAAATTTTTTTTATAAAAAAAAAGGGTTAAAATCTTAGAGGGACATAGTGTCTTTATTATAACCCTACTACTATAAAGTTTATGATATCGAAAAAAAAATTTAGTATTGTACTGCCGATTATAACTTTTTATGATAAAATTACACCTTTAAAAAAAGAAGTTATAACTGTTCAAGAGAATGTCATGATCGATTACAGACGCTCATGATCAATCGTGGGCTTCCCTTGAATAATTGTTATTTTTCTCTTAAAAGTTAATCTTTAAAAATTATAACTTAATTTTTGAAAGTTATAATATCAGTATTAATTGAAACTTTTCATGATCGATGATGTTTTTTACAAATTATAATTTATACCTTAAAAAATTATAAATTAATTTTAAAAATTTATAATTATAAAATTACAAACCATAGTGTTTCCCCACTATTATATATATTTGTTAATGCAATGACATGGGTAAAGCAGGGTGGGTGGATCTAATCACCCATCCATTGTAGTCCCAGTTCATTGGAGCGTGGTTGAAGTACCTACCAAAAATAAAAGGGTATCTGAAAGTTGACTGGATCTGTCACTTTAATACGATCAAATCTGGCTAATAGCCAGAGCAATAAATGGACTAGAAGTTGTCAATATAATATAGCCGCATTTGTGGAATACAGAGTATAACAATTTTGGGAACTTCTAGAAATTACACCATTTTTAAAATCTTCTAGAAAGTTTATTCAAAAATTGTGGAGAGATGAAAGCTACTTCAATCAATTTTAACAGGAAGCATTCTTCGATAATGATGAATTTATGCAAACTGAGTCTTTGATTTAATGTTGTTTTTTTTAACTTGTGAAAGTTTAGTTTTCATGAGGTTGAGAGTTTGAATTTCTTAGACGATAAAAGACAATGATTGATTAGTATAACAGACTTCAATTAAGTAGAAGAACCGTATTTAAATTTTTAGTATGGATTTGAATTTAATTGATATATAAGTTAAGGGACCGATTTATATACCCGATTAAATCGCCACTATCTCCCGGGTACGGGCTAGTGATTTTCCCCCTCGTTCAAAGAAATAGGATGGATTTATTGGGGATCTTTTGTCTAGATTGGGATATTCAAGGACTTATTTGTTTAAGGAGATTACTGTTTAAAATACCACTCTATAACTTTTAAAAGATCTAGACTGATGTTTAAATTCAAGTTTTTGATGAAAAAGGAAAGGAATAATGAATGATGCAGGATACATTGGATACATCGAGGAAGTCTCTAGAAGTAGAAATTTCAGAAAACATAAATGGAAAATATTATGTTTATCAAAAAATTTACCAAATTTTTTTTACTAAATGATGCCACAATTTCTGTCATTAAATATTAATGAAACTCACTTATCTAACGATGAAAAACTATATCACATCATTTAAGAGAATCTATGCACTGCAACTGAAAATCTATACGAATCATTTGTGGGTTATTTTTATCTTGATAGTAAACCACTTAGGGTGTGTTTGACAAGTTTGTGGTGATAGGATTGGTTTGTTTTTTTAATCCAAACCAATCCAATGAAATCCCAAGTCTAGGGACATAGAAATGATACTAATAAAATTGTGTAATTCAATCCTTCTTTTGAAAAATACTTTTATATATTATGGGGTCCACGGATAAACCAATATGTTTTGTATAAATTGTCTTACTTTTTATATTAAATTACAATTTTATTCTTCACTCTTATCCTATCCAAAGTCATAGTTGGGTGAGCCAACATTATTTATTTTGTCCACCATTAAACTTCACTCCAATTTTCATGTGTGTTACCAAGTGTACAAATCGAAAATAATTTGGTTTTAATGTTTGCAATACCAAGAAATTTTGATATAATTAATTTGGTCATAAAACAAAGTCCCACATTTTTATAAAAATTAAAAAAGAAAAAAAAATAACCGATATACACAAATCGATAAACACTTAAACATATTTCATTACCCATACGTAGTCTTATACAAAAGACGAAGCAAAAGAAAGGCAGCGTACTACGTAATTAAACGTACCCAACATGTTTATATTCTTTGTTGCCTTCAAGTATACATACAAAATGAAGGCAACACAAGGAGGTACGAAGCGTGAAGCTACATGCACACACACTAATGTGTGTTGCATACAAAAATATGGGTAAACATACTTACCCAGCTGCTACATGCACATATACATTATAATACAAACAAATATTATAAGTTACCATTACAACAGACAACCTGACCAATTGCACCCAACATTCAATCATCGATCACTATGATATCACCGTCAAAGTGAGAGTTCACTGACGGTGAACTCCCAATGCTATCACTAGGAGGGTGACTTGAGCTTGCTTCATCTTTTTTAAATATAACACTAAAATATTCAAAATTCGGGCATGGTTGAAGACAATGTTGTGTTGCAAAATCATCTTCCTACAATTAATAATATGAAAGTATGTGTTAATGGGTGGAAAAAAAAATTTATATATATATATATATATATATATATCATTTCATAATTGACAATAATGTAAAACAAATTCTAAGAATGAAGTAACTTACCTCCAAATACTTAATAGGTTCTCTTCCTAGCCCTATTACGACTGACTTCTTCAAAGGGTCCCAAGTAAAATTGCTAGAATCAAGCATTGCCGTAATAGTGAAGAATTGCCTTTCTTAGTAGAAAATGACGCAAATAAGTTTAGTAAACGATAATGTAAACCCTCTACAACGTCGTTTAACGACGCGCAATAAATCATCCATCATATTATGCGTGTAACGGCCCACAGGAGGTAACTTTCCTTTATTCTTGAATTCTAATAATGTGTCGATAATGACGTCTGTTTCATCCTCGGAAATCTTTGGGATCTTCATTATCAACTACAAAATATAATTTACATATTAATTTGGGATCAACTGTACATAAGATAAGCCTTATAGTCGACAGTAAACGAATTACATGCATGCATCGTATAGTAATTCACAATTACATATATTTAACAGTTAACAGTACAGACAAAATCTTCGGGATTACTACTAGAAATATAGTTGATAAAAATGCATAAGATACTAAGGTTTACATAGAACTATCCCAAGTCATTACATATTGTCTAATCATTAAAGCACCATGTTTACTGTTATGGTAACCACTTAAACAAACCCACGATAACCCATTACAGAGTACACAATATGGGTGAGCACGATACCCACAATAAGCATGACTATACTTATCATGCACCACATTAGATCACGGGTGTAGGCATTTGTTCCAATTACACGAACATGTGCTTCATTGTTGTTCACAACACCATCGTCAACGATATTGTCCATAGGTGCAGGAGGATGAAAAGCCATCGCATTGGGTACATCAACTTCATGCCGCGCATTGTACAATGCCAATGCTATTTCTGCTTCAGCATACGAATCATAAGATTTGTATAATGCATTTGGATACCTGTTCACATGCGCATGACATTCCACCCATGACTCGTAAATACCAACTTGTCGTCCAATAAATATTACATACCAACGTTGCTTCTTGTTCATATCTACGTACACAAAAAATGCAACTTGTTGTTACTCATAATAAGATTGGAACATTATTCCACTCAAATCCATAGTTGGTCATATTAACAATGTCTCATCTAATATATATTTACATAAATTAGTTCCATCAAAAACATACACACAGTCGAACCAAATAGTCCATACAGACCAAAAAAACAGACCAACAAAATAGAATTGTTAATGTAATCGAACTATCTCCACACCATTTGTTACATTCACCTTCACAAAAATCTCCCACACATGCTTAGGAAAAAAAAGATTTTAGGTGGTGGCCTACTCGAACGACAAAAACAAGTAATTTTGTCAAAGTTGTGGTGGCTGCCACAACAGGCCACCAACCCACGCAGGTTGCTCATAATCCGGCAAACTAAAGAAGATGTCAACCTTTACTGGGTCAGAACAA